TGAGATATGACAGACCTCTTGCATCAATATACAGCAAGGACAGGCTGAGATAATGACAGGCCTTGCTTTGGCATCAGTATTGTAAAGCCAAGCCAACCATCACCACAGATCAGTCAGACAAGATTCTATGCTGCTGACTGCTTAATACTTTCATTTTGATAAATCTCTTCAATTGACAACATACAATTCTAAAATAAAGCTAAGTATGCAAAACTACTTGGTGTAAATCTTACATGAAATAGAAATGCAAACAAATAAAATCCACAAGATAAGTAAACAAAATCACCCTTATACTGGAGCTCCAGAATATGTCATCATCCTCTTTATCGTTTTGCAGTAGATTAAGAACACGGAAATTGCTTGTTTCAAAGCCAGCAATAGCCGTCTGCATACTAGCTAGTTCTTCCAAAACTTTAATTACATTATCTGCATCATATGGCTTGGTTGTAAGTTCTTCATTAGCCAGTGGAATCTTCACCAAGCCAATTTTCTACAAAACATATACAACTATTTATTGAAAAACTGATTTCTGATTTTAAAAAGACTATTGACTTTTGAAAACTGGTTATAATTATGTTCATTGCTATATCATGAAAATGTAAAGAATTTTTGACAAGAGCTGTTTGAGGAGCAATGCCATCCACTTTTCTTAGTTCTGGATACTTAGTATTACTATAATAAAAAGCAACTGAGGGGGCATAATTCTGCTTGGCAGAATGACCAACCCTTGGTGATAAATGATTATTTCAAGTTTGAAATGATTGTCTGTTTTAGTTTTACAGAAAATTAGGAAAATGTAAAAATATAAACAAAGGGAGATAATAAAGAAAAATGTTTGTTTGTATAGTAAATGAAAAACATTTGTTTACATACTTCGATTTACATCTGTTTTGAAATATCAGACAATTTGCTGTATAATTAGCTAAGTTAGCGATGCGAAAATTTTGGCAAATTTCACAAATTGACGAAACTTGCTCTAGCGTAAATATCAACATTAACCTGTCATTAAATTCTATTCTTGCACGATCTACTAATATTTCATCATGCAAAATGTCTAAAATTTTAAATTCGCTAACTTTTCGACACACAGTAATATCCACTTACACACTGAGTTTATTGACAACAAATTAAATATATACCGTTAAAAAATCACAGGTGTTCAAGTAAGCATATTCCGTGGACGTGTTCTCATTTTCATGTTTCCCAACAATATTTACTGATTTTGGCCATTTCAAATTTAGTTTTGTTACACATATCTGATTTCCCAACTTGTGGGTCTTCTCAATATTTGGTATCAGACTTTCCTCAACATTTTCGAATGGTGCAAACAGGTCATCAACAACTTTCTTTGGTTCTGGAAACTTTTGTTGTAAAAGCCTGGCTGAAAAATTAAATACATGGCAAATTAACAACAAACAGTAACCAAAAAAATGAATGTTTAAATGTCAATATAAAAGCAAACAAACTAACTTTACTAAGTGCTATCTTACAAATTTGATACGAAAACGGTTGATTCAATTTTGTTTAATATCTAAATACAGAATTTATTCATGTAGTAATCCTTGAGTAAAGGGGAAAAAGGAACCATTTAGCATTTTTCTGCAGTTATAATATTGAGACTGTTGCCATGAGACTTTTGCTAACCTGTGTTGGGAATTTGTGCAATATATACATGTATCTTATAATAACTTAAATGCCTTATCTATGATGTAAATGAAATGGTCTCCCAATGTCACATGTGGTGAATTCCATGTGCAACTGCAACTATTGCAATTTGAAGAGAGATTCCAACTGATTATAACTGATTATAACACAGCTAGGGGAAATAACATGTATATTTTGTCATTAAATATCAAGTTCCTTTGTAATAAGCCCGGATTGCTTACAATATTACACTTTACTACTTCCAAGGCAATACGAAAAATAAATACCATGCTCCTCTTGTGGATAATGATGTTTTCTAATCATCTTTTCTTTGAAAGAGAGCAGATTTTCATTATTTTGTCCACTGTGGCTGTCACTGGTGTTTGAACAAAATTGCTTTTTATCAACCCCACACAACTGTGACAATGTCAGCCAATTTCTACTTAATAGACAGCATGCCCTCACTGTGTTGTACTGCAAGAAAACTTGGTGAACCATTTCTGATGAAGCAAACCGGCAAACTTTTCACTTACATGGTTCTTTTTCAAATACAAATCTTATCAAATGAAAACACATGGAAAATGCAGACATAAACAAAGGGGAAAGCACTCTTACAAAACCAAAATGACTGGGGGTTTCTCAAAAGCTTCATTTTTTAATCTATTAAAAAAGTGCCTTTTAAAAGTTTATTAGATCAAACTTTTACATCCAACCTTTAAATAAGTACGTCTTTGTGTCTTGCTGAAGTAAAATCATATGGAAACAACATACACAGGCATTTCTTAATTTCGTTTTAAATTGTTTTGAATATTACCCTGTGTATTTTTTATCTTTGCTGTAAGCGATAATTTTTCTGAGACTCCCCAAATGGAGAAATGACCAGGAAAAAAATCTGTATTTACGGCTTTGACGACGTAAAAAGGGTATATGTGAGTATGTTAACAACTAAATAACTTGTTGTTTTATAAGTAAAAAAGATGGGGGTTTGCGTTTATGTATAAAAGCTGCAGTATCATAAATGTATTCGTCATCGAAACTATTCGTACTTTGTGGTACGAAACTCGCAAGTATAAATGAATTTATATTACTGAGATCGTGTTAGTAGTTATATTCTTAACAACAGCTCAAAGAAGAAATCATATCAGAAATTGTCTTTTATCTAAACACCCAAGATTTGTAGGGATTTTGTGTTGGCCACACCCATTTTTACCAAATGATCATATCCCGAAACAACCAATTTTCAATCACAACCTAAATTCAAACACATTCTTAATTCTGTTGCACTGATTTTATGTCCGACTAAATTGCATAAAGTCACATGTTGTATTAACTTCAAAACTTCCAGAAATGCCACACTTGATTAATTGTCAAATGTTATCAGAAAAACAATAAGAAACTGTTTGTTTTAATTGACACAATATAAATTTGTTCCAATTTAACTATATCAAAATAGCACTCGTTTAAATAGTGGTAATATTTTTCCAAACAATAAGTTTTTTTATAAAGTATTGGCTAAAGAGTTTTTACCATTTACCTCAGTCCTAGGTGTATTTAAAACATTTTTTTTATGATTGATGTACCACTAAATATTCATCAGACTTTACATGGGGGTCCTTATTAATAAAATCTTATATTGTTATCAATTTTTTTTCATGTGATGATTGTAGAATAATGTTTTTGTAAGCGATACCAGCTGGCAAGATCTAGACAAATTTCCATATTTGCTAATATTATACAGTGGGAAGGTAAAATGGCTGTAAAGATTGGATGTATTTTTATCATTTTGCACCTAAATATTGTACTAAGACATGACACCTTCAACTGGCTTTTTTATACACATTAACTTTAGTCATACCAATGCATTGTACTGTACATATGGTATTACATTTAGTGTGAGTTTTTAAAATCTTGAAAAAAAAACTGTTGAAAATCGTTGAATATAGACTGTTGTTGAAATTTTCTACAATTTAAGAGGCCCTGATTTATCTTGAACAAATTTTCCATGGTGATTACCCTGCTGTTTGAATTAGGTTAAAATATTCCTGGGAGTGGCCCAAGTGGGTCATATCATTTTTATTGAATTTCTAAGAAAGATCAAGACTTGTTGAAAATGTACCAATCTGAAAATGAATAAGTGTTAATAGATGCATTAATAGCTAAAATAAATTTAAAGTATAATTTCCCCTTCCATTTATTATTGGCTAAAAACAGCTTAACTGATTGAATATTGGTTGTCCCGGGATACATATAGTAGCTATCTATACAAGTTTATTTCCTACATGATAGATCTGATTACCACTGTATATGTTTCACATTCCTTATGAATCAGATTTCCTGAGAAAGCTATTTTAAGCTATGCCATTAAACCAGTTTTTACAGATAGGCATTAAAAGAAGTATCAAAATATTTTTGTCAGTGGAAGCAAAACAGATTGTTGATTTTTGTTAGAAGAAAAAAATTATTTGAAAGAAGTAGGCCTAATCTTGAAATAATAGACTCAATTTTAAATGGGCAAGATAGTTTTGCCAGTTTACCTGCAGTAGAGCTGTCATCCATAGATACGATATTGATGTATCTTTGATATTTTTCTGTCGAACAATTATTGATACACATTTGAAAATATCGAAAATTTTGATTTATTATTGTAATGTCTATGAATTATGGGATTTAACTAAAAAAAATACAGAAACAGGTAGCCATGTCTAACACTAAACTTTTGTTACGTAATGGACACATTTCATAGCAGTGATGACAAAAAATGGTTATGAAATAGTCCAGCAAAGGACATTTATAAATAGGACACAAAATATTTGTATGAACAGAACATATATATTTTACTAAAATCATTTAAACAGGTATGAAAGTGAATTATTTAAAAGAAATTAGGAGTATATAGTGATATATTTCGATGTATCGCCGATATATGTCATCCAATATCAATGTATCGTCAATATGCTTTGCTATGAATCAATGACAGCTCTAACCTGCAGGGTTGCATGGAAAACTTTGCATAATTTATTCTCTCGAAATCATGAAAATTACCTACTCGGTACTGGTTTTCCAGCAGTAAAAATTTGAAAACGCAAAACAGTGTTGAAATTGGATTTCTTTACTTGTATTCATGAAGTTCTTATCCTTGTCTATCATACTTTATGCGGTAATTATAATTAGTAAATGTACAAACCCCTTTGCACCCAGATGTTATTTAAGTGTAAATCATTAAGTTTACCAAGAATACATGAAAGGTAAGTAATGCTACCTGTAGGCTGATTGAACCATTCTTTGTACTGGCATACAAAATTTCTACCTGCCACAATTCTTAATTTGGTGGAGTCCCTTTAAGGAAGCCTTTCAGTTAAAATGGGAAGAAATGTAGTGATTTGTGGTATCTGCCACTTTCTATGGTTTTGATGTTAAGATAACATGTTAGTGTTTCCACAGGTTAAGATTCATACTGAACTGCATTTTCAAAGTTAATTTTTTTTACAAAGTTAATGATCATAATTATGCCCCCACAATGTGGGAGCATATAGCGTTGCACTTGTCTGTCCGTCCGTCCGTCCGTCAGTCCGCACTACCGAATAGGGATAGGGGGCCATCTAACTGTAAACAGAACAAAGGAGAACAATAGAGTTCATTCCGTACCAATAGAGTAAGGGGCCATTGGCCCTCTATTAAACAAAAGAAAATAACAAAAGAAATGGCCCCTTGTTCCATTTCGGCCGGACGTCCGTCCGTCCCGAAATCTTGTGAACGCAACTCCTCTTAAACCGGATGGCAGATTTTGCTTAAACTTACAGGGATGAACAACCTTAATGTGTAGATGGTAGTAAAGGAAGGAATTTTCGCTGCGACCAAATTTAACAGAATTATGGCCCTTTGTTGATTTTTCACTAGATACTATGTAGAAATTTTGTGAACGCAACTCCTCTTAAACCGGATGGCAGATTTTGCTTAAACTTACAGGGATGAACAACCTTAATGTGTAGATGGTAGTAAAGGAAGGAATTTTTGCTGCGACCAAATTTAACAGAATTAGGGCCCTTTGTTGATTTTTTCACTATATACTATGTAGAAATTTTGTGAACCAACTCCTCTTAAACCGGATGGCAGATTTTGCTTAAACTTACAGGATGAACAACCTTAAGTGTAGATGGTAGTAAAGGAAGAAGTTTTCGCTGCAACCAAATTTTACAGAATTATGGCCCTTTGTTGATTTTTTCACTATATACTATGTAGAAATTTTGTGAATGCAACTCCTCTTAAACCAGATGGCAGATTTTGCTTAAACTTCCAGGGATGAACAACCTCAATGTGTAGATGGTAGTACAGGAAGGAATTTTCGCTGCGACCAAATTTAAGAGAATTATGGCCCTTTGTTGATTTTTCACTATATACTATGTAAAAATTTTGTGAACGCAACTCCTCTTAAACCTGATGGCAGATTTTGCTTAAACTTCCAGGGATGAACAACCTTAATGTGTAGATGGTAGTAAAGGAAGGAATTTTTGCTGCAACCAAATTTAACAAAATTATGGCCCTTTGTTTCATTATATACTATGTAGAAATTTTGTGAACGCAACTCCTCTTAAACTGGATGGCAGATTTTGCTTAAACTTCCAGGGATTAACAACCTTATTGTGTAGATGGTAGTAAAGGAAGGAATTTCTGCTGCGACCAAATTTAATAGAATTATGGCCCTTTGTTGATTTTTAGTTTTCAACTTGTGGCACATGTAGTCCAAAAAATATTTGACCTAGAGTCATAAGATTGACAGAACAGTGGCGTGTGGGGGCATCCGTGTCCTATGGACACATTTCTAGTGTTTATATAGACTTTAGTACACTAAAATAGACTCTTTCAAATCATTTGCCAAATAAACCACATTTGTACTATTTGTACTATTTGTATTATTTTTATCTATTTTCAGATCAGCAAGTGAAAAGTGGGTAATCATGTCAGCCCATGGTGGGGAGATAAGAGAGGGGTTTTTGTGCCCCATGTGTATGAAAGATCTAGGAACTGTAAGTCAGTTACAGTCCCACTTTGAGGAGGCACATAGCACTGAGGACAAAGCAACTCTTAACCAACTCAGAGGTAACATCATTCTACTTATACTGTGAATTCACTTAATTTCGTGAAATTTCGTGTTTTGTCATAAAGAACATTTTCGTGGGTTCTTAAATATCATGGACAGTTTATTTTTCCAGAAGAAACAGCTTGATGTTAATCTAATTGTATGGAAAAACTACATTTTTTCAACAATATTCCTTCAGGAAAGCCTCCCTGAAATGTCTCCTGCTTACGAAAGAAAAATAAAGCCCTGAACATACTTTAATCTTTTTAGCTCACCTGAGCATGCTCAGGGTGAGCTTTTAGGATCTATGATTGTCCGTCGTCCGTCCGTCGTCCGTTCACATTTTGTTGTTTTAATACACTCTAGCGGTCGCATTTTTGCCTCAATCATCATCAAACTTGGTCAGTATGCTTATCTAGTTGATAGCTCGGATGAGTTCTAACATGGGTCATCTCGGATGAAAAACTAGGTCACAAGAGCTAAAAATAGAAAAACCTTGTTAACACTCTATCGGTCACATTTTTGCATCAATCATCATCAAACTTGGTCAGGATGCTTGTCTAGGTGATAGCTCGGATGAGTTCGAACATGGGTCATCTCGGATGAAAAACTAGGTCACTGGAGCTAAAAATAGAAAAATCTTGTTAACACTCCAGCGGTCACATTTTTGCCTCAATCATCATCAAACTTGGTCAGGATGCTTATCTAGTTGATAGCTAGGATGAGTTCGAACATGGGTCATCTCGGATGAAAAACTAGGTCACAAGAGCTAAAAATAGAAAAACCTTGTTAACACTCTAGAGGTCACAATTTTGCCTCAATCATCATCAAACTTGGTCAGGATGTTTGTCTAGGTGATAGATTGGATGAGTTCGAACATGGGTCATCTCGGATGAAAAACTAGGTCACCGGAGCTAAAAATAGAAAAACCTTGTTAACACTCTAGCGGTCACATTTTGGCATCAATCATCATCAAACTTTGTCATGAAGCTTGTCTAGGTGATAGCTCGGATGAGTTCGAACATGGGTCATCTCGGATGAAAAAGTAGGTCACTGGAGCTAAAAATAGAAAAACCTTGTTAACACTCTAGCGGTCACATTTTTGCATCAATCATCATCAAACTTGGTCAAGATGCTTGTCTAGGTGATAGCTTGGATGAGTTCGAATATGGTCATCTCAGATGAAAAACTAGGTCACAAGAGCTAAAATAGAAAAACCTTGTTAACACTCCAGCGGTCACATTTTTGCCTCAATCATCATCAAACTTGGTCAGGATGCTTATCTAGTTGATAGCTCTGATGAGTTCGAGCATGGGTCATCTCGGATGAAAAACTAGGTCACAAGAGCTAAAAATAGAAAAACCTTGTTAACACTCTAGAGGTCACAATTTTGCCTCAATCATCATCAAACTTGGTCAGGATGTTTGTCTAGTTGATAGCTTGGATGAGTTCGATCATTGGTCATCTCGGATGAAAAACTAGGTCACAGGAGCTAAAAATAAAAAAATCTTGTTAACACTTTAGTGGCTACTGTTTTGATCCAAATATCCTGTAAATTGGTCTGAAAGTTTGTTTTGATGATTTCTAAGTCAAGTTCGAACATGGGTCATCTTGGATGAAAAACTAGGTCACACCGCCCAAATATGGAAAAACCTTGTTAACATTCTAGTGGTCACATTTTCGACTCAATTATCATCAAACTTGGTCAGGATGCTTGTCTAGGTAATTGCTCGCATGAGTTCGAAATCGCATGTGAAACTAGGTCACCGGAGCTAAAAATAGAAAAATCTTATTAACACTCTAGTTGCTACTGTTTTGATCCAAGTATCCTGGAAATTGGTCTGAAAGTTTGTTTTGATGATTTCTAGGTCAAGTTTGAATATGGGTCACCTGGGTAAAAAACTAGGTCACACTGCTCAAATATGGATAATCCTTGTTAACACTGTAGTGGTCACATTTTTGACTCACCTGTCATGAGACTTGGTCAGAATGCTTGTCTAGGTAATTGTTTGGATGAGTTTGATGGGTCAGGTGAGCGATCTAGGGCCATCATGGCCCTCTTGTTATATGTTTTATTTTACTTTATACCAGGCTTGTTTGACAGAGCAAAGAAAAAGTTTCTGGGTGATAAAGAAGATGATTTGTCAGATAGCATAAAAGCTAGTAGTAGTGTTTCTATTACACAGTCAACAAGTCTGTATGATGTAGATTACTGGCAACCACAAGATACAGGTAAACCTTCATATACACTTGTATATTTAGCCCGTGATTTTTTTTTGCTTGACAAAAACTGTTGAGAAAATTTATATTTGAAGCTTTAAAATTTCCATAAATTGTGATGATTAGCTAAAATCATCTTGGTTTTTTTGACATCACATGATAAACAATAGTACAATAAATTTGGAACAACTTCAATAACAGAAACACAAGTAGAAGCAGGTGTAAAAAAAGACGATCTGAGAGACTTAAACAAACAGATAAAGAAATATATCCATATATTATGTAACAGAATATCAAAAATTTTGCTAAAAAAATATTTATCTGATGTTTTAGGGAAGACACGTAGTTGGACTGATTTTTTCCGAGGTATACGAGATGCGCGAGTGGACAAGTATGTTGTAGAAACAAACAAGATATTGATACGATTAGACAAACTAATCAGTTCCGACATCCCAACTGATTCTGGCAAAAGAAAAGGTAATCATCTTTAATTTTTCACTTGTCTAGTTCAGAAGAACAGTCGAGCCATTATGAAAAAAAAAACAAAGTAAATGAATCTTTTCTTGTATTTTAAATTTCGTAGCTTTATTATCTGTTGCTTTGCTAGAAACCAAAAGTGATATAAGTTTTTGTCATCGGTATAGAGCCAGACAAGTCTGCATATCCATGCAGTCTGACCAGGTTCTTTACTCTTGGCAGCTTAATTTTTGTATATGGATATTGAAATCCCTAAAATTTTGAATGGACTGTTCCAAATTCAAAGTTTGACAAGTTCATTTAATCATTTGAGCAGGTTTTTGGTTAAAACATGAATGAAGCTTGAAAGTTTGCCTACATGTATCTGTAGTGTAGAAGAGCTTGGTATAAATACATGTAGTCTATATATTGTGGCGACCGCCTCCGTGTTTGAGAGGTTAGAGTCGATGACTTCTAATCCAGTTACCTCTCTCTGGCGTGGGTTCGATCCCCGGGAGATGCTTTGGTAGTTTAGCAAGGAGGAAGGTAGTCTAGTACTGGTGTAACTCTCCAGGAACAATGGTTAGGAAACTACCCACCTTTATGACTGAAATACTGTTGGGAAAAGGTTTAAAATAAAACAAACAAACTATATATTGTGGCAAATTGTTGGTGATATAACGGAGTGGTTCTAGTGTCTGCATCTCCAGGAATCTTGGGCTTGAGCCCTTCTGGAGGTAAAACCATGTTTTCTTTATAAAGCACCAGTACTTGTTAGCTCCAGGAAAATGACTCAAGAGAAGTCCCAATAAACTTCCATCTAAATTGAGTTTAAATGAAATCCCTGTGAATATTGTTAAAACTAATTGTTGTTTTCCTTCTCAGCCTTTGAGAAGACAGTTGTTATGTGGTTGCCAGATAGTGAGGCAAAAAGTTGTAGATATTGTGGCCGATCATTTAACTTGACTCGACGTCGACATCATTGCAGACTTTGTGGAGGGATCATGTGTGACAGGTGCTCGCATTTCCTTACACACGATTATGCAAGTAAGTTTTCTTTATATACCTGCAGGATTGCTTAGCTTGTTTTAACATTATTTATTACATGTCTCCAAAAGGAAGGATTTTGTTTTGATTTTTTTTTTTGTCCTTCAATAATTGATTTCTTTTTGATTTTGAACAAGTGTTATATGAATTGTAATTCAAGTAATATATAAAATATTATAAAATTTGTTTGCACTCTTTGCTATATTAGCCTTTTAGTGCAATGTATGCATGCTATTAAGAAAGGGATGTTTGAATACGAAATGTTTACAGATGTGGCACAAATAGACTTAAACAATCATCAGTATATTAGTTGAGCACTGAATTTAGTTCAGCATTATTTTACACATACACATAAAGGGATTCCACTGAGTTTTTTTGACATGTTCCAAGATTTTCGCGCCAAAAGATATAGGTCTATACCAATGACTTTTGTGCACAAATTTCAGATTATTCTCTGACTATTTTTCCAGAATATTTTTTCTTATTGTGAAAAATGACCCAAAGTTTGAAAGCGTTGTGCCAGAGGCTCGCATGATATAGTTTTATTCAACTTGTTCAATAAATTCAGTTTTGAACCTACACTTGTTCAATATCCTCTATTTCCTGAATGCTTGTTGTTGTACATGTATATGCATGTCATGTTTGATTTGTTATTTAGGATGTGCAGCAGGTATGATTTTTTTTCAAAACAGTTTAATTTCCAATATTCAAAAATTTTGGAAAATGGCGTAGGACTTTTCATTGATTTACTGAAAAAATTTTCAAGACAGTTAAATTTCATATATTCAAAAATTTTGGAAAATGGCATAGGACTTTTCATCGATTTACTTTAAATCTTTTCAAAACAGTTTAATTTCTAATATGCAAAAATTTTGGAAAATGGTGTGGAATTTTTCATCATTTTAATTGCTATATTTTAAGCATATTTGATTTGTTAAGTAAACTTTTTTTAGCAAAATGTTCTTCTATTTTAAAGATTGCCAGTCACTTACTACCCAATTCCTTTACCCCTATTGTCTTACTTCTAAACCTCTCCTTGTTTATTGGACCTCTCAGTGTAGCCTTTGCCCCTCTCAATATTGATAACATAAACCTCTCAAAGGTGACTAGACCTTTCCATATGACTTTGGTGTATTGTAGAATATATATTTCCATACTTATCTTGGTATAGCTAATGTCCTTTCCTATTACTGTAATGTAACAAAACTACCCCCAATGTATTCCTCTAGTTATATATTAAATCATACACAAGTTAATTAAATAATAGTTTCGCTGAAACTTTTCCAGATCAATAATTATTCATGAACAGGTCAAATGAGAGATGATTTATAAATATCTTTAGATTATTCAGATATTATAAATACAGTGTATATCAAATTATAGGGATAGATATGAGGTCTGTTTATTGCCAGTTTGGTGGCGATCTACTTTGATTCACGCTTCAGATCTGACTGTTCCTTAACGAACACCAGAAACCATGATGTCATGGTCTGAACCATAAATATCTGAGTATCCGAGTAATTGTTACAGGTCTTATAAATATTATATACATATAACATGTACCATTTCTTTGTTTTTTAGAAAAATTGACAAATCCCTCTTTTAACTTTGAGGGAGGTCGTGAGGCAGGTTTTCTCAAGCGTTCAGGCAGCAATTCAAGCTTGAATTCCCTGTTCAGTAGCGAGGGTGACCCACATATACGTGCCTGCGAGGAATGTAGAAAATTACTAGAGAGGCGTGACCAACAGATGGAACAGCGAAATTCAAAGTCTACAATTGTTTTATTGTATGAGGTAATGGTTTAACTTGTGATGTGTTTGTTCAATATGAAAATGATAGAAACAATGAAGAATCTGGAAAATTAAACAGATATACATACAGTCGTAAAGTATAAACTTACGTCACTGGCAAGTCACAGGTTTTATTCACTCAAAACTGTTGAAATAGGCAAGACTTACACTGACCTGACTCTGTATTGGTGGCATAGTAAAAGGCACAGACTGGTGGTCTGTCTGCATTGGTGGAATAGTAAAATCACACATTAGCCTTGGACTGAACTTATGGCATAGGCAAGTCACAGGCTAACCTGGCTCTGAACTTATGGTATAGGCAAATCACAGGCTAACCTGGCTCTGAACTTATGGTATAGGCAAGTCACAGGCTAACCTGGCTCTGAACTTATGGCATAGGCAAGTCACAGGCTAACCAGGCTCTGAACTTATGGTTTAGGCAAGTCACAGGCTTACCTGGCTCTGAACTTATGGCATAGGCAAGTCACAGGCTAACCTGGCTCTGAACTTATGGTTTAGGCAAGTCACAGGCTGGTCTGATGCTTTCCTTGTGGTATTGACAAGTCACAGGCTGGCCTGACTCAATACTGGTGGCAATGGCAAGTTATAGGCTGGCCTGATGCTTTTCTTGTGGCATAGAAAAAAACTAGCAAGCTTGATTTTAAACTGTTGGCATAATTTAAATAAAAAACTAGCCTGACTGGGAGCCTTTAATTAAGTTGTAATATAAAGTTAAAAGTACTACATAAAACTATTTTATATATTCAGAAAATGAAAATGTGTATACAAGAGTGTGAAGTGATGCTAGAAAATTACTTGCCAATGGTTGAATCTCTAAGGTAAGTTTTTCTACACTTGTTATACAATAACATATATATGATTTTTATATACAAATTTCTTCGGAATGGCGAAATTGAATTATTTTATGTGAGGAAGCCTTCATGCTAACCTATGGAAGGTGAGTGGTTTTGGTCAGTTTCCAGTACTTACCTGAAATTATACTGGGAGGTTTATGTGGGAATTACCCAAAGTGACCTTGTAATTTTAACAGTATCTGTGTACATGTGTAATTTAAAATCTTTATAGCAAAAAAAAAGCGATAAATGTATATCAAAATGTAGTAAAAATGGGAAAAAAGTGACTTTTTATTCCATAATCGTAAAATATTTAAACATGAATGATATTTTCTTAATGTTTGAAAGATATAAACAAAGTTTATTAGTGGATAATGATTATGTCTTCCACTGATAGGCGGTAATTTTTGATATTTTTCAAAAACAGAGTAAAATACTAAAACATTTGCTTTGAGGTAAGGAATATTTCATTATATTATAATGTTTTTTTTGTATTTAATGCTTCAAACATGAAAACTAGAAGTTTTCATTTGAAATGACACTTGATTATAAATCGGGTAAATCTACATGTAGATTGCAAGTTTTATATATGCGCATGACATAAATGAGACCTAGTTATGTGTATATTGGGAACAATATGTTAATGAAAGCTTCTCTGAACATTGAGTCACCATGTATACTAGTATATATTATTATGTCAGAATAAAATGTTTTCAGTTCAGGGGAGTCAACATACAGTTTAAGCACTGCCCAAAGAAGACGACAAGAGTTAGTGAAAAAATATGAAATCATCGATCAAATAAGGTAAACTATTTTTTCTCTCTGTTCAGGTTCTTCTTTTGAAACATTTCTAAAAGAAAAACGTGGTGTCCACCAGTGGGCTTTGTAGGTTCATTTTCAAAATTAGGTGGCCATCTCTTAAACAATAACTAAAATGGCTATTATTTGGGAGAAAGGATGTTGTACACACTTTCACATTTATGTATGTGTTTGTCCACAGACTGTTGAACTCAGATCAAGTTTGTGTTTTGCTGGCAGTGTTTGTTTACAGTCTAAACAGGATATTTTGTCAGTTCCGGCTGCAATATCATTGTAAATGTTTTTCATACATCAAAGGCTTATAGACTCATACTAGATTTGTTTTCTGAAACCAACCAGTACTTAGCAAGAGTGTAGTGTCTCTTGCCCCCAAAAAGAATAGCTTCCCCCTGAATGGGTTTGAACCCATGCAGACAGCAATCCTGTGGTTACTAATCTGAAGTGTTTAACACTCAGCCAGGCCACCACAAGTCTGATTTGTATTTTCTTTGTCCATAAAATCCTGAAAAAGAATCCAAAACATACTGAATTAAAAAAGGGTTTTCTTAGAAATCTCCTTGGTTTTGGTCACATATAAAATTGCATGAACTGAAATATGAAAGAAAAATATTTCAATATTACATACATTAAAAAAAATCTTTTGTTGTTTATTAAATATCATTTGTTTTCTTTCAGTAAAAGAATTGCCTTACTAGATTCCGACAAAGAGGAGGGGCTTTCTCCGAAAGAGGCTTTACTGCAGAAGTCGATCCGCGTATATGCTTCCAATTTTATGCAGGAGAACATGATGGGATTGCAAAACTTGCCATCAGAGGAACAATATAAAAAATTACAGCAGAAACACACAGCTGAAGTTCAGAGACAAATTGCCATAGAAAGGCAAGCTGTCCAACAGGCTCAAGCAGAAGAGAAAAAAATGGCCGAAAAGGAAAAGCACGGAACTTCCAGTCGGGATGACGAGCGACCTAGCGCGCAGAAACATTCTAGAAATAAAAGTGACGGTTGGAAACCTACGGAACATAATGTGAAAGGGACAGATGAGGATCCCATGTTGCAGCAAATGGAAATTATACGAGTTTATATTCAGCAGGCTAAACAAGCAAAGAAATGGGACGAGGTGAATATGCTTGAACAAAATCTTAAAGATTTGCAGAAAGAATATTCTAGTCAACAAAAACAGACCTGGTCATAGTGTTGATTTTTTAATTTCATACAAAAAAGGCCAAGGGAAAGTGCTGGTTCTTTTACATGTTCATGAATTTATTTTAAAAAAAAAGAACATACTTGCTAATTAACATATTTGTATTTAATCACCAAGTGTTTCATTTTTTTCTTAAGCAAAATTGTAAGTGTTAAATACATAGATATGGAAAAGGCTGTGATGTTTTTTGGGTTTTTATTTTTACATTCAATTCTCGAAATTTTATTTGTCAATATTTTTTTTCAAATCTGTATTGAACATTAGATATTTAAATCAATTATACATTGATACTTTTTCTATCATTGCTCTACCTTTGCATTTTTTTTTTTGTTTCATTTGATAAACATGCTTTAAGTACATGTACTTGGGCATTGTAGCAACTAATCAAGATTTCGATATCATTTTTAATGCTATTTCAAACTAACTTTCTAGTCTTTGCATATAATTTCTTTTTTGCTTTAGATTAGATAAATAGTTTTTATGTAGCAATTCTGTTTTTACCTCAGAATTAATCTAGTCTTATTTCATTTGTGGACAGATTTTAATCGCAATTAATTTTTTAGAAAATTTATTAGTTAATTTTGTCAGAACAGTATTTCTTTGAAAGCACTTTTGAATTTAATATACTTGAAGGAAAGACTGAGTAAAGAAAACTGATATACTTTGATATATAGGAAAGATTGAGTAAAGAAAACTGATACCCTTTCAGAAAAAAAAAGAGTTTGAAAAAATTGCTGAAGAAATTGCTGAAGAAGAATTAACACTATGTTGCCAAAGTAATGCTCTTTTTATATTTTAGGCAGTTTTAATATTTTATCCTAAACATGTGTAATTATCAATTATTGGCAAATCACCTTTAAAAAAAGTCAGTCTTTTGAGAATATATGGCTAATTAGTCTCAACCCTGACAATAAAGGAATGGAGTATGTCACTTTAATAATAATGGCAACAAATATTGATACTTGTTATCAATTTATCAGTTGTATATAGAGGATATTGTGTAAATTTAATACTGAATTTATTGAACAAGTTTAATAAAATTATATTCTGCTAGCCTCTGGCAAGCAGAATGTTATTTTATTCATCGAGTTCAATAAATTCAGTAATGAACTTACAGGAATTTAATATTCTATTTATCACATGCCAAAAATTAAGACCGTGAAAAGTGAAAAAGAACCATTTTTCATTGATGTGTCTATATTATAACGCTAACATTAAGCGCATTTTAACGCTATGTTTATTTAACGCAAATGACGTCCCATCAAAATATATGCATGTCCTGCAATACCATTTTTACGGAGTCGCAAAATTGGCATGAGTATGTGATAAATATAGTTAATTGATAAATATTCTTACCAGTACAATTTTTGAGCATTCTATTAAGGGCAAAATGTAAAATATTATTTTACCTAAATGTCCATGAACTGGAATTGGACAAGTATTTATTAGTGATATATGGCCGTTAACCCTTAACATGCTGATCTGTGAAGTGTTTTTGCCCAGATCTGAGTTTGGAACAGTCCATTCAAAGTTTAAGGGATTTCGTTATCTAAATATAAACATTAAGCTACTAACAGTATAGAGCCTGGTCAGACTGTATGAATGTTAAGGCTGACCTGGCTCTATACTGGTGGTAAAAGGAAGTCACTTTCAGTTCCAGCAGGTTAAGGTTAACTTTGTTTATAGATATACATGTAAAATACATGTATTTGTTATTGTGATAGCTTGATGCTTTATGCCAGTTTCCTTTATTTATGTTTTTTTTTTACAATATTATATATATATATATAAATATATTACATATACATGTATGTATATATGCATATGTATAAACATTTTACATTCATTATAACAATTAATGTAAAATTATGCAATACTAGTACATTTCCAATTTTTTTTATTGCATTTTATGATATTTTTTTTTAGGACACATCACACATAATGATTCTTATATCACAATTAAAGCACCTTTTATATTGCTCTTCCCCCTGGGATAGGATTTCATGTCAGTTTTGTTAATGCCAAAAATAGATATTTGCACTTTTCTTTACAGTAAGTTTAGCTTTGTTAAAAGACCAAAGTGACCATTTATTAGCTCACCTGAGCATATGCTCAGGGTGAGCTATTAGGATCACTTTCCGTCTGTCGTCCGTCGTACGTCGTCCGTTGTCCGTTCACACTTTTAAAACGACATCTCCTCTGAAACCATAAGGCAGATCATAATGAAACTTCACAGGGATGTTCCTTGTGTGAAGCCTTAACAAAGTTGTTCAAAGAATTCCATTCCATGCAGAACGCTGGTTGCCATGGAACCAAAAGAAAAACTTTAAATATCTTCTTATTAAAATCCAAAAGAGCTAGAGCTTAGATATTTGGCATGAAACATCTTCTAGTGAGTGTCTACCAAGTTTGCTCAAATAAAAGCCCTGGGGTCAAAATTGGCCCCGCCCCAGGGGGTCTTTGATTTTCCCTATATACATATAGTAAAAACTTAAAAAATCTTCTTTTAAAGAACCCAAAAAGCTAGACCTAAGATATTTAGCATGAAACATCTTCTAATGGGTGTCTACCAAGTTTGTTCAAATAAAAGCCCTGGGGTCAAAATTGGCCCCGCCCCAGGGGTCATTGATTTTCCCTATATTCATGTAGTAAAAACTTAAAAATCTTCTTTTAAAGAACCCAAAGAGCTAGAGCTAAGATATTTAGCATGAAACATGTTCTAATGGATGTCTATCAAGTTTGTTCAAATAAAAGCCCTGGAGTCAAAATTGGCCCTGCCCCAGGGGGTCTTTGATTTTCCCTATATGCATATAGTAAAAACTTAAAAAATCTTCTTTTAAACAAGCAATTATCATAGTATTGCAAGCAATCCATAAGTCCCCTACCGGTAAGAGCCCAAGCAACATTCTGAAGGGCCATTGGCCATTCACTTAGGTTCCTATTTTAAGTAAATTTGTTGAAAAAGTTCTTTAAAAGTGATCACAGGAAACAGTTTTTATGTACAGACAGACGGACCGAAGGACACTCTAAAGTTATTTTTTAAACATCCCTGTTATCAAAATATAAAATTTTTAAAATCCTATCATGATTGAAGAAGTTGGAGTAAAAATTACCAATTTCTCAAAAAAAAGTCTAAGTTCAAAAGGGGCATAATTCTGGAAATAGTCTTGCTAGAGTATTGAACACTCACAAATGTTGAGTGACAATAAGAAACATTTATATGAAGTTTGAAGTAGGTACATTCAGAAAAAGAAGTGATTAAAAAAAAAAACAATGTTTTTTTCATGAAAATTTTTAAGTTCAAGGGAGGTAATTCTGATAAATTTTGTGCTAGAGTTGTAAACCTTGTCAAATATGATGTGGTTGATGACAAGCAACTTATATTTAAAGTTTGAAGAAAATACCTTAAGAAATGAAAGAACTTATAGTGAAAAAACTTAAAAACTAGAATCAGAAATCTTGAAATTCAGTCTATTTGTTGCCATAGCAACCAGAATTTTCAACATAGGAAGATAAAAAAGGATGTGCATAATTTCCATACTGCCATCTACCCATATGTCAAGTTTCAAAAACATATTTTCAGTACTTTTTGTGTTATCACTGGATCCAGGTTATGTGTAAAATTTGCCATATTTTCAGTCTATTTGTTGCCATAGCAACCAGAATTTTCAACATAAGAAGAAAAGAAAAAGACGTGCATAATCTCCATACTGCCATCTATCCATATATCAAGTTTCACAAAAATATTTTCAGTACTTTTTGCGTTATCGCGGGATCAAGGTTATGTGTAAAATTTGCCATATTTTCAGTCTATTTGTTGCCATAGCAACCAGAATTTTCAACATAGGAATAAAAGAAAAAGACGTGCATAATCTCCATACTGCCATCTATCCATATACCAAGTTTCATAAAAATATTTTCAGTACTTTTCAAGTTATCGCGGGATCCAGTTTTGTGGACGGACGGACGGACAGACGGACGGAGGGTAAACCTAAAGTCCCCTCCGGTAAACCGGTAGGGGACTAATAACCAAAGAGCTAGAGCTAAGATATTTAGCATGAAACATCTTCTAATGGGTGTCTACCAAGTTTGTTCAAATAAAAGCCCTGGGGTCAAAATTGGCCCAGCCCCAGGGGGTCTTTGATTTTCCCTATATGCATATAGTAAAAACTTAAAAAAATCTTCTTTTAAATAACCAAAGAGCTAGAGCTAAGATATTTAGCATGAAACATCTTCTAATGGGTGTCTTCCAAGTTTGTTCAAATAAAAGCCTTTTGGTTTAAACTGGCCCCGCCCCGGGGGGCCTATGTACAGGTGAGCGACCCCAGGGCCATCATGGCCCTCTTGTTTTATTATTGGTACTGATATGCTTGTCGTAGGGCTTTAACCTTTACCAACTGATATACTGGTCCTGGGGCTTTAACCTTAACTCACTGATATGCTCGTCCTGGGGATTAAACCTTTACCAGCTGATGTGCTCGTCCTGTGGATTTAACTTTTACCAGCTGATATGCTCGTCCTGTGGATTTAACCTTTACCAGCTGATATGCTTGTCCTGGGGATTAAACCTTTACCAGCTGATATGCTCGTCCTGTGGATTTAACCTTTACCAGCTGATGTGCTCGTCCTGTGGATTTAACCTTTACCAGCTGATATGCTCGTCCTTGGGTTTAAACCTTTACCAGCTCATATACTGGTCCTGGGGATTTAACCTTTACCAGCTTATATGCTTGTCCTAGGGTTTTAACCTTTACCAGCTCATATACTGGTCCTGGGGATTTAACCTTTACCAGCTGATATGCTGCTCCTTGGGATTAAATAAATTCTGACTGTATAGAGAACAGTGCAGATGATAATCAGCCAGCACTATCATGCCCGTTGATCTTGGTCTGAACTTGTTGCTTGGGTAGATTCAATTACCACCATCAAAATAAGCGCTAAAGGAAAGGGACAGCCTCTAATAATGACAGGCAAATGTCATTCATTTATAGCAAGGTCTGCTGGGTCCGAGGTTATAAAGAAATTCTCCAAGTTCAAACTCAGATCTCAGGCATTTGA